ACGTATGTATTCTGGTGAAATGTGGTGAAAGCTAGTAGCATCCATACTGTTTGTGGGGCTCAAGTTCTCAGGTCAATGTATGCATGTGCTTTGGGGGTTCATAATCCAGTCGCGGCAGTTACTATCAAGCCCCTCCGTGCATGCGTGGGCGGGACGGCATGAAAAAACAACAAGAGGCTTGCGGAACTGGAATTTGAACTCGCGGCTCCACGGGTACGTTAATCGCTGTTCATAACGGCACCTTGGAACTGAGCAATTGTTCCAATTCTCTAAGTGTTTCAAGTGTGAAAACGTTAGCACATCGCTGTTCATAACGGCACCTTGGAACTGAGCAAGGGTTCCAATACTCTAAGTTGTTGAAGTTTGAAAAGCGTTAGCACCCTCGTAGCTCCACAGACGAAATAAATGATCTACCAGTTGGACCTGTACCTTTTGGAAAAAACAACTATGAGAAGTAACGTGGAGCCCCAGGGCACGGGGACGACATTCCCTCCGCTGTGCGTAGTCTTTTCTCTGGATCCGAGCTGGACCCCCCTGTAGGCTACACGTATCACTGACGATATTGTGCCACCCGCCGAACCTGCTGCCACGCCAGCACACGTGGCAAACATTCAGCTAACCCCTCCGCTACGCCTGTCCGCCATGCTCTCGGCGTGGTCCGCCAATGGCAGAAGCTCTACCAATCAACCTTTCCCCATTTGTTTGAAACTCCTACTAATCTGCATACACTGACTGCATGATTTTGCCGACATCGCCGGTTGCCCTGGTGGTCTAGTGGTAACCCCGAAACCGTGCGTGGCACAGTCGTGAGTTCATATCCCCGTGGCGTGCAAATTACAATTTTGAGGGTGGAAGTTATAAAAGCTGACAAGCTCGTGACTACCAACCTTTGATGTTAGCACCGTTGACGAGGAAACGGGACGGCTTGACCCTTCTCGCGATGAAAAATAAAGATCAGCACGCACGGCCGGAGGAAGAAGGGGCACGAAAGGAAAACAAGACATAAAACAGAAAAAAAAAGCCCCGGTGTATACCCCCTCTCCTGCGTGACCTTGGAAAATTGTATTGTACGGAAAAATGTGACAAATAGGACGGAGACGCACACACACGGCACCACTACCACACGGCGAACACATGCCACCATCTACTACACAGCAAACACTGGCAGACTGTGCCTTGGACCCTTCGACAGCCAGCCGTGGTATCTCCTTCGATCACGGAATCAAAAACATTAAGTGGGACATCTGGTACAACAATCTGGATCTTTCTTTTACTAATGCTGCTGCTTTGTGTGGGTGTTTCGTCCTACTTGTGGCAACCGTCCCCCAATTTTTCGTGGTGAGACGTTTCCTACACGTTTCAGTGTCTGTAGAGTACTAGGTGTTACAGTGTATTTTTTCGTAAAGCTACAACCATCCAGCGTCGCACGCACAGGATGGGGGAAATTTCGTTTCTTTTCGTGGCCCACCTTTCTCCTGCGGTGCGCGCTACATTTTACTTTTATCGCGAGGATGATCCGGCCGTTAATTTCCCTCGCCGACGGTGTAAACATCGGAGTTTGGTAGTCACGAGAGCTTTTCCGACATATTGACCTTTCGATTGTTAAACTTTTCACCCCATGATGTTTCGAACTCACGACCTTTCCGACAAGCGGTTTCGAGGTTACCCCTAGACCACCGGGGCGACCGGTTATACTGCGGTGGGTACGAGCATCCTGGACGCGTTCACCAGCAGGAAAGCCTAGAGAGCCTGCGAGCGGGAACCATGAGCAAAGTAGATTACGTCTCGCGGGAGGCTCTCCACCTTCACCACTCAAAGCAAGGGCGTACGCAAGGAACTGCCATAGCACTGTATCCATACGTGTTGCAGTTTTCTTTGGTAATAGCTGCTGCTGACACAATGACTGTTCGATCATGGTAGGAGTGCACGAATATCAATGCCGCATACAACGATATGCTGGCCTCGACTGGGCTTGAGTTGACTCTTTTGCTGTCCTCCGCTATATACATCAGTTGCTTCCTCGGTTCGAGCAAGGAACTGTGTGTGAGAATAGGCAATGCATGCACATTTGTGTTGCTATTTTGTTGGAGTTCTCTAGCTGCTGACACGATGACTGTTGGATCATGGGAGGAGTGTGTGATTATTAATGCAGCATAAAAACGATATCCTGGCCTAGGCTGGGCTTGAATTACCTTTCGCTATCCTCCGCTCTATACATCAGAGGCTCACTCTGTTCGAGCGAGGGCCTGTGTGTGAAGCAATAGGCAATGTATATGTATAGATAGATTTTTTGTTGGAGTTCTCTAGCTGCTGACACGACGACTGTTGGATCTTGGGAATGTATGACCATCAACAATTGGAAGATCCAACATACAACGATATCCTGGCTTCGGCTGGGCTTAAATTACCCCTTTTAGCTGTTCATCCGCTCTTTGCATCAGTGGCTTCCTAGGTTCGGGCGACGGCATGTATGTGTAGAGCGGTGATGATGGGTGTCTCTTTGAAAGAATAGGTAAAGGGTCATGTCCATATTCGGATCAAGGGCATTCCGAGGTTTTCGGATTTCGGCCCCCTCCCCGGGACCTTCCTTGATTTTCCCGGCAGACACTGACTTCTCTTCATCGGTCAGCCGGTTAGTGCGGTCGATACTAAAGACAGGATAGCTGTCGCTACAACGAACGACAGCTGATAGATGTGACTGTCGTCAGACGTGTGCGTTCGCGGGAGGAAGAAGGAGATGTTTCATGAAGAAGTCAAACCGTAGTTGCATTCATTGTCATAATCGTCGCACATCATCATCCTCTGCTGCTGCAAAGAAGACATGTGTAGGTTGGTACACTACACTTCCGGTCCGCGCATCCAACACTGACGGTGCCATGGCAAACGTCACACACGATCACCTAGCACCACACTCAACCCCGTCAGAGAACAACGACTGGTGGCGTGGGCTACGCTATTCTCGGACACAGCGAGTCTCCTGTATTGACAAGTTGTGTGTGTGCGACGGGCGGGTGAACTTTCGTTGTCAAGGTCTGCAAGGGGTTTGGTTACAGACAAACCTCGTGCCTTCCATAGCTCATCCATCTCTGCGCCTGTACACCCAAGACTCGGAATGCCCAGAGACATCCTTACCACACCAGCGTCCTCATGATCTGAGATGAAACGGACCAGCCGTTGTATCATAGTGCGGTGGTCAACAAGCCTGTCCTCAGTCCGTTAATGCTTTTTTCTGGATTTTTTAATGCGGACAACCAGGGGGCCGGGTGCATGCCGCATTGATCGTGGCTCATCACTCACCAACTACTGCTGTGTAGCATACATGTCCCAACCCACCTCCACCGCCTGCAAGGTCTGTGCATTGCTATGCACCTTTACTGATACTGGCACCATACAACTTGATCGCTAAAAACTACCGTAAACATTTGGGACTGGTTGTGTGTGTACTCGGCAGGATACGAATCTCCGAGATCTCCAGGAGGGTACGCAGATGTATATGATGTGGGTACAACAGACGTACTGCTGCAGCAGATCCTTGTTGCTAGTTGCTCATGTCTGTCACTCCTTAGTCAAGGAACTTGAGTCACTCCTTTGTGCAAAACGCTCTCGACAATAGCCCGCGAGCGTGATAACATAGTACACGCGCTGACACCCCAAACACGATATCGTGGAGTCAGCTGACGTCGGTAGGGGCAGCTTCGGAAGGTAGCCACCGAAACACAAGGACAGCAGCAGCAGGGCGGTTATTGCGCGCGCGTGTCAAGGAGATCCACGGAAAGCGTTTGGAACACAAGGACAGCAATAGTAGGGCGGCTATTGCCAGCGCGCGCTAAGGAGATCCAGCTACAAAACAAAACAGCAGTTGTAGGCACTAGGAGATACATCGTGCCGCGTTTTTTTGCGGCGTCATTTGGCGGAGGAAGAGAAGAGATGATGAGGGAGAAGGACAGGACGGACAGGGAATATGGGCATCTTCGGGAGAAGAATGATGCTCCGGCAAGAGCAATGGCTGCCGGGAGAACGATTACCGGGGCAACCGGTGGAGCTGGGCTCGGTACACAATGGGTGAGCATGATGAATGACGGAAACTGTGCTTTGAGCGGTTGCAGCAGCAGTCGCAAACCGCCCTAAATCCCGAATGATCCGACGAAGGCCGTGAGCTGGCTGCGGACATTGCGGATTTTCCTGGCTAGCGAGGGTTTGGAGCAGACGCTTGAAGACACCTACCCCTGTGACTATGTTTCTGTCATCAGCTGTTTGGATCGCACATATCTGAACTGGGTTCATGGTGCGGCGCTCGTCACGGCCCACAAGCGGGCGTGGGGATATCTGTTGGAACCAAACTGCGGCAGGGACATTGAATAACGGTTGGCTGGTTGCGACTGCGTCCCTGAGGCGTGGAGGGTGATCCGCGAATGGGTTGTGCCTACTTTTGACGCTGAGAAGGCATTGCTTGCGCGACGGTTGGAGACAGTTGAGATGTCCCCTGGCGAGGACCCGAAGGTTTTCTTTGCCAGAGTCGATGGCATCGTCAACACCATCCGAGCTGTCGGCATTGAAAAATCCGAGCGGGAAACCGTGCACATCATTGTCCGCCAGCCTTCGCCCGAGTACGATGTCGAACCCAAGTCTATTCTGGCTGACCTCACCATTCCCCGAGCAAAAGTGGATTACTTTATTCGCTTTGCAAACTCCAACAACGTCGAGATCAAGAAATTGGGCAAAGCGCAGGCGATCGGTGGTTTGAGGTGCGGTCATGGCGGCGGCTGTCAGAAGGGGAAACAACGGCGGTGGCAGCAGCAGCAGCAGCAGCAGCAGCAGCAACAGCAGTGGGTTCATCCACAACCATCACCTGCACACCACCCACCACCTAACTTGCCGACGTGGGGATCTGGGGGGCTCTATGACTGTGGGCGCAAACGGCGTGTACCCAAAAGAGGAGTCAGCTCCGCCGCCAGGCGCTCCGATGGATGCCGTTCATCAGTGCGTGAGGTGCGGGAGGCATGGACACTCGCTCGGCGACTGCAATGCGCCGCGATGCTTTGAAGGCAACTGTACTGCCTGCGGTGAGTACGGCCATCGGCGCCGCATGTGTACAATCGGTCGCATGCAACAGCACGTGCACGTCGGTGACGGAGAAGGTCTGGACGCGAGTGGCAACGACGCTAAGCCGTACCAGCAGCGGAAGCGACGACGCTGGAGGAGGCAAAGGCAGCGGAGCGGGCGACAGTCGGAACTTCTCCCGGAGGCTGGTTTGTGGGGGGGGCAGCCGGAATACCCGCATCTGCAGCCCGAGCAACCGTACTCGCAAAGGAATCGACCGGAGGCGCTCCCCGTGTGTGCAGCTGGAGGGATGGCATGGGAAACAGCACCTGTGGCGGGAGCGGCGACTGGTGGTGGTGATTTCCCCGCTATGGCGGCGGGCGGGGGGGGCGGTCGGGGCGCAGGCACTCGCGGTCGGAGCGGCGGCATTGCCAGCAACACCGGCGGTGAGAGCGGCGACCCCCCGCAGCAGAGTCTTCCCCGCGGCGGCGGCGGTGCGAGGGGCGGCTGGGGTGCAGGCACGTGGGACTGGAGAACAGTATGGGTGGTGGCACCGGCGACATCGTCGACCGGCGGCCCAGTAGCCCCCGCTGTACTAACGGGCGAGGGCGTCACAGCGCCCACATCAGCAGCTACACTGGCATCAGCAGCGCAAGAGGTGGAGGACGAGTGCGAGGAGGATAGTCGTTGGTTGGAAAATGAGGATAAACGCGGCAAAATCAGCAACGGCAGCGGCGACGGCAGCATCGTGGCGTTGTCTGCTGGTGCTGAGCATTCCGGCGCCCATCCGACCGTGTACATGGTATCTGCGTGTTGCGGGATGATGGGGGGTAAAGCCAAGAAAGGAAAATCGATCCTGGCTGGAAGTGTGCGGCACGATTTGAGAGGACTCGTGCTCGGAAGATACCGTGCGGGATGGTTGCACGCTGGGTCTACGCACGATTCAGGCACGTTCGTGAGAAGTATTGTATTCATTTGGCTATCTATTTTCTAGGTCGGTTTTGTTCATTGAAAGCCATAAGTTTGAGAACTGCGTCGATGTATGCTGTTGTGTTGCGATGCGCACGAACGAACGTGGTGTTTATGGTCTGTGGTACATTGTGTTTTTCATTTGTGGGATATGGTTTGCATAGTCTAGGACTTCACGGCGCCGAATGGTGCAGTTGATGTTGTTGGGTCGCAGCTAGCACTGCTGTAGAAAATCATGGGGGGGATGAATGTGATGTTGAGATGCCATGACCTTCGCCGCAGTACGAGCAGAGTTCTAGCGGACGTTCGGGTTTGATTTTCATTTTTCACGTCTTCCGCGTTTTACCTGCGGAAGATGAGAAGTCCTCAATTCTTGTTTGTTTGCGGTTTCGCGTTTACCTGCGAAGTTTGAGGAAACTTCATGATACTTGTCTGATTCCTCGTTGCTAGGACAAGAAACGTATTTCTTGTTTATTCGAGATTCCGCGTTTTTCAGCATATTTGTTTGATTTCTCGTTGTCAGGATTCGAGTGTTTCTTGAATTTGTTGCTGTAGGACGGATTGAGTTCCATGGTCGGAGATATGTTGAAGGGGGACTGTCAATCGATATACATTTGTTTGGAGTGCTCTGCTTGGAGTGCTCGGCAGAGTATACTGCCTACGGGGCTTACGGGGGGGTACGCGGATGAAATGTGTTGGTGGGCATGCTGCATAGCGATGGTGTTGCCTACCGCATGTCTCTCACTCTCCAAGCAACAAGGTCTTGAATCAATCATCTTTCTCTTTCGGCCTCTGACGAGCTACCGCACCCAAACACAATATATTGCAAGGCCTGGTGTTGGTAGTGGGTGTTGGCGTTTGAGCGGTGGGAGCTGGGCCATCGGGGCAGCGGACTCCATTTTCATAGCTGGGATCGCGGCCAAAGGCGGCGAGGAAAGCAGTGCATAGCTGGTGCGGTGGCCATTGCGGGGACCGGGACAGCGGGGCTAATAGCTGGGACAGCACTTCGAGGCTGGGACAGCAGGGAGGGTTTAGAATTATAGTTTGATTGATATGTCTGGAACTGAGGAGGAAACAGCTCTGCGCGCTAGGTTGGATGAGGCGCTACGAGCTATAGATGCTGTCAAGGCTGAGACGAAGTAGGCCAAGGCTGAGACGGAGGAGGTTAGGGCAGCACAGAGGCGGTCGGCGGGTGCACCTGCCGGCAGCAGCAGCCCAGGAGGCGATTGTCTAGTTGCTCCTGGAGGGGCTTCATCTGCACCGGTGAGGCCAATGTGGCCAGGCGCGGTGAGTCATGATGGCGGTACTGGGGTGCCGGGTTTGCCTCTGGGAGATACAATTGTTAGAACTCCTGTGCCTAGAATCCCGGCAAATTGCACCACCGACACCTTTCTCAGTTGGCGGAGACGCTGTCTGACCTACGTGGACAACCATTATCTCCAGTACACAATCTCCGGCAGTGCTTAGGTTCCCGTTGTCAGTTGTCAAGATGAAGGATACTTGACTCGCCAGCATGGTGCACAGCTGGTTGTGGAGCACAAGAGGACATGGAGTTTAATCTTGGAGGCAGCGGTGGGGACCCGATTTGAGAACAACCTGTACTCTTGCCATTCTGTGGCAGAAGAATGGAGGATGACGGAGGATTGGTTGTTGCCAAACCACCCAGCTGATTGTCAGCTTCTCGTCGCCGAGCTAGACAATGTAACCATGAACGATGACGAGGACCCCAAGCTGTTCTGCTCGCGCGTCGCACAACTGGAGTCCAAGTTGCGGGCTGTGGGCATTGCTAAGAGTGAGCAGGTAGTTGTGCAAATCCTTGTTGGCCAACTCCCCGAACACTACGATGTCGAGAAGTGCACCAGTCGTTCCAAGCGTGATTTAACCCGCGCTGAGTTGCAGGACGTCGTGCGTGGTCGATATGCCACGCTCAAGGCCAGCGAGATGAGGGAGCGAGGGTCGGCAGCTTTGACGCCGGCGGTTTCTGTCAACCCCCATGCTCTTGTTGTGGGCCGTGGTTTTGGACACGGCGGCAACGCGGGGAGCGGGGGGGGCGGAGGCCAAC